GCTTAGTTTTAGCAGAAATGGTATCCGTCTGGGCCTAGCATTGTAATGCTTGTAAATCACTACTTACCCATTAGTTCCAACTCCGGGCTTGAAATGTCGCCAAAGAGAGCTGCTACTCCCTCATATTCCGAAGTGCGAGCCCGAAAGCATGTTTGGTCAGAGTAAGTCGAGGCACAATAGATGCTATTATCGTTCGACCGGACAGACAGCGTGATTGTCTGCGCCCCGGCTCGGCAGCCTCCAGTTATTAGTCCGGCATCAATGAGGCTTAGGTTTCTAATGACTGCCGGTTCATTCACTGTATAGGTTTCATTGCTTCCTGCTTCGAGAGAATAGTCATCGTCTGCAAAACAGAAAATATGCCAGGTCGTTAGCATAACCAAAGGCAACCTGTTTTAATAAAAACCACTTGGCCAACTTTGCATTTGTGAACTGCTATGTTTGGTGCAGCTTCACCGGATGAGAAAGCCTGTCGTATCTTGTGACCTGAGAACTAAGACTTGCGAGATGACTACTGCTTGCCGTTCCTTCATCAATACAAGAGGAGGATGTTTGAGTCTACTGTAATTTCAGCCGGGAATTCATAGTTTGTTTAACCGATGCACTTTGATGGCGAAAACAGAGGAGACTTAAATGATCATTTCTGACTCATCAGCTAGTCAGATCAAGGTTCAGGTGGTGTTATTGACCTTCTAGAAGTACAAGCAATGTTTCGTTATGCACGCTGGAAACTTTTCTCACTGTGGTTCTGTTTGGAACGCGTCCACTCCATGATTTCTCATCTCATAGAAAGGTCCACGAGTGCAACTTTCGTCGCTGTCATGAGAACGCGCCGTGATTATCGATTTTTCCTCCTATCTGATTGGCCCTTTAATTCAGCTATGTCTCCCGCGCCCCCTTTAACTACATTCAGCCTGACTGTTAGAGCGACTTGTGCTCCCGTGTTCTGTCTCTCTTTTGCCGACTGTTCTTCTCTCTGGCGCTAACTTACGGGTCGTGGGAACCCGGACGGCAATTTCAGTGTTCGTGATACTTCAGCACCAGGCGCGGGTCGAAACAAATACCGATACCTGATTGCAAGCATCTTTTTCGCCTTTTCACTACTCGGTATCCGTCTTGCCAGAACTTTCACCTCCAGACGCAGTTTCAACAAGTTAATATTTACAGTCCAGAAAACTATGTATATTGGCCCCCTAGCGTGGTTGCGCTTTATGAACGCCACGTCGCAGTTTCCGTCTAACTCGAGGTTAACAAATAGAACTCCTGTTTCCATAAGGGGCAAATGAATGCAATTATAAATATAAACGTATAGTGTACCTTCTGTGATGGTTTTTTCATCAGAACCATCCCACGAAGAGGAGCACCAAGAGGGGCTCACTCGACTAGTCGGAATCTCCAGTGAGATAGTGGACGTCCGCCCACTCTGGAAGCTGGTGGCAGAAACATTCATGGAACAGCAAATGCTTTCCATGGATGTATGTTGTGTACATCTGGAAAGAACTTGAGTTCAAAAAAATAAAATATCATCAACTTACCCGAGGAATAGCTTCGGTTCTGGTGACTTATCTGCGGCATAGTCTATATTGGCTGCCAGATTACTTATTCGGTTGGGCACCATATCCGTTGAAATACAAGCGTGTTCTTTATATTAGACAAACGAATTTATGAACAATACAACGTTACCATAGTAAGGTTCGTCTCTGTTGTATACTACTGCTTCTTCAATCGGAAGTTCTTCTACAATATCAGGTTGCTGCGTACGAATCAGAAAGCGCTCTGCTACTTGAACAATAGGGTGTGATTTCTTTGCAAACAAGAGGTCATCGCCGACGTCTGTAATAGAAAAAATGTCAGTATTTTCAGTGTTTCCAATTCAGCAGACTAGCACGCAACATATGATACAGGATAATCGTTGGAGGTTAAGCGGGAGGTTATCTAGCCAAAAGCGCTGATGTCCACAAAATAATGGAAATTGGACTGGTCAGGACCGATCAGCATTAATTGTGCATGCTCATTTTAAGACTGTATACGACGAAATATGAGGCCCAATAGAATTCGCGCAGCGTATTATGCTACCAGTGTAAGCTAAACGCTATAACAGACTGCTGCCGCTATGGCATAATAGATTGGAGCAAATTAAATTAAAGTGAAAGGTGTACTGCAGGGTATCACCAGACTCGATCGGGGGAGCATAGGAATCCTTAATGTTATCTATGGCCAGCCTGCGGACCTCAGACACTTTTCTTCATCCAGACATCAGAATTTAGTGGGTATTGTAAGTGTGTGCTGTTTTACTGTTACCGTAAACTACTTCGTGCCGGGAACTTCAAAACTCTGAACACAGTTGTGCAGTCTCCACACTTTTTTTCTAAGACTAACGTTGTTTCGCGTGCTCTATTCTTTGCGCTAAACTCTTGTGGCAAACTGCTCTTCTCTACTCACGCTTAGGCTTTAGTACAGATTCTGTGATTGAAATCAATAGGAAAATCGAATGTGACACTCACCTGTTTTAACTGCATCTAGGGAAATATGACCCAAATAACGCTGCGTAAAAACGAAGGATTGTTGAATGCCAAAAACGTGTTCATCTCCTACTTCTACTGTAAAATTACGGTAAGATGGACCTAGAAAAGAAAACGAATGAGAGAATCACTGTAGCGGTTAAAGACTTCGTAACGTTGGCTAGAAAGCTAAATTCTTACGAAAAAAAACAGATCAATTTTTCATATGGGGCTTTTCAAGGGCTGTGAAATTCTCGCCTTAAGACACTATCTTCGCAAAGCACTGTTCAATCCAGGTAGAATGCATCTTTGCGCTCGGGGATTGCATAGCCCAGGCCACCGTAAAGAACTTGTTTGGTTCTGTGCCTGCCCGACATCAAAGCACACGTTCTTTTTTGTAACCTAGTGTGCTTCTGTGTCAACACTGGTTATCTCTTCTGCGTCGCCACTGTTGTAACCCAGTGTGTTCCTGTGTAACCACTGGTTATGTTTCCCAGTACGTGTTAGGAAGAGAAGACAGAACAGTACGTTACTGTCAGT